CGCGCCCCCTGCCGCGGCGGGGGCCTCCCGCCGCCGCCCGGCCCCGGGGCAGCAGCCCTGGCACAGCAGCCCTGGCACTGGCAGCTGCAGAAACGGGGCTGGTTTTTTCCCCTCCCCGGGAAAAAAGGTGCGGTGAGAAAGCCTCGCAGGCTGGTGAAAGAGTGCAGGCAGGATGGGCGCTGCCTGCTCAGCCTCAGTGCCCTGCACGGGGGTACGGCGCACACCAGGGCAGCACTGCTGCCACCCCGGCAGCAGCCCCTGTCCCGTCCGGGGGCCTTACAGCTCCCTTCAGCTGCTACCAGCAGCTCTGGACTCCTCAGTCTCATCATTTTGTGTTTGCAAGCACAGCAAAATAGGCAGGAAGTAAAATAGCCTGCCTGGGGCTGCACAAAGGGACAGATGGGAGAGGCCTGTTACTGCAGGCTTGTGGGAAACCAGCAGTTACGTTTCTCAGACAAGGGGGAGGATCTCTCATGCGTACAACACCTTGCAACACCACCTGGAAGCACTTGGTTACTTTTTCATTTACAGAAACATAGTGCAACTGGGCCTGACCAGTTTTAATTCCAGGGTGACGTCTCCTTTACTAAGGCTATATTTTAAAAATATATATATTTAGCCAGTTTCATAGATAAAAGATCTATGTTCCACTGTATGGAACAATCAAGTGTAAATTGCTCAAATGCTGAAAAAGGCCAGGTAATATAGCATTGTGTTCCTGAAACTATCAATCTGAGCATCTGATGTACAATGAAACAAGGGAGGCTGACAGTTACTGCCTGCCATTAACACACCAGTTCTAGACTTCGGATTCTCAAAGCACCGTAAAGTATTACTGACCTGGCTATTCAGTTCCTTGTAGCTCTTGACTGGCTAATCACGCTGCCATTTCCTCCCCTTTACAGGAAGCACAGATAAGCTTGGTCAGAGGTGTGCAGAGAAGTCTTCTATGACCCTTGCAGGAGCCCCTCCCAAGACCAGACAGCCTCAGAGGTGATAGCTGTCTGTAATGCACTATACAGAATTCTCTTTAAAGAAAACATGAAAGAAGCTCTCGAGTTACTTGTGCATCATCCCCTCTGCCAAGATAAGAATTTTCTGCTACATGTAACCTGCCGTCTAGGATGCAGCTTGGCACAGTTGGCATTTAGAACAACAGCTGAGCCCTGGCTATAGTAGCAACACAGGCACAGAGGATCCTGTCCCTCCCATCATGTGGTCACATATGTCCCCAAGGGTCAGCCTGGCTGAAGATGCAGGATTTTTCCTTCCTTGTTCAGCCAGTAAGTCTGGGTTCTTTCTGGTTTCGAAAAAGAAAAAAAAAAAAATCACATTTCTCCAAATAGTCTCATTGACACTTTTTAGCACAAGACAATTACTCTCAGATGCTACTACTCCTAGTCCCCTCACAGGGTGAGAGTAGCTGTTAGAATGAAGAAACAGAATAGTTACAGTATCCCATTCATATCTCAAAGGAGGTCACAACTATGCTTTAGAGGCTTTAAAACACAAGAGCTGCATTAATTCAATTACCCAAAGCAGATAACCAGACAAGCTCCCCAAATGGTCACCTTCCTACATCCCTTAAAGGTACAGTGGTCTTACCACAAAGTCCAAGATTCAGGTTACATTTTTAGAATTTCTCTGCCATACGCTCCCATCTTTAAAACAATTGCAGCATATAACTACTGGGGAAGAAGAAATATAACTGAGCTGTGGACCTCTGTGTAAACTCTGCATGCTTGGAAGAGGCCCATGAAGAGTGTGACCTTGAAGCCAGCTCTTCTTTGTGAGGGAAGAAAGTTGAGGATATGGCAGTGCATATTCTTGCATATCTACTGATAACTTAGTTATCCAAATACCATTAATACACTCCAATCTTAAGTACACTCACTTGCACCCATCGCCTTTTCAACGTCCCTGTCTTTCAGATGCAAGAGAAAGGCATGGCATTTTTCAACAGCAGTACACAGAGGAAACAATGCTTTGTCAGCTCATACAGAAGTATTTGCTTTACTAGGGCAATGCTTGCTGGGATTTTTGAGATTTTTGGATAGATTTGACACAGATTATTGTATTCACAGAGCTGCAGTCTGAGCTGACTTTGCATTAGTTGTCCTGTCCTCCCACCACTATTTCATATTCCCCCTTCTGCTTCACCAATGGGATCCCATATTCCTAGGATATTGCCCTCTTCAATCAAAACGCCAGCTCCCCCAAGGATTTCCCCACCACTGGACCGGAACATAAGAAAAAAAATAAAGCCACCAGTTCATTTAGAGAAATCTTTTCTTTAATTGTCAGTCTGGAACGCTCTGATGGAAGCGGACTCAAACCACAGAGGACAGAGTGATGGAAGCTGCAGCCAGGGCCAGAAGTTGTCACATAGCAAAGAGGATAAGGAATGCCACCATCAAACAGAAGAGACCCATAGCCTCAGACAGGGCAAAGCCCAGGATGGCATAAGAGAAAAGCTGCTGCTTGAGGGATGGATTCCTGTATGTGATACAAGGGAGGAGGGGAAGAGAGAGAGAGGGAGAGAGAGAAAGAGAGAGAAGTGGATTCACAATGAGGAAAAAAACAACAAACAAAAAACCACAGCCTGTATCACAGAAAACCAGGACTAACCCACCCAGGTAGTGCATTTTGGAGCACAGATCAGATTTACAGCAGGCAGCCACTAGTTGGAATGAGAAAGCCATGACTTTTTCCTGCTTTTAGCGATTGCCAGTAGACATGTCAAACCCTGACGACTAGTTTCATCTGACCTGGCAGTACCAAGCAACAGTTCCTGCTAACCACTCACTACGGCTTCATTTTTTCTAGAGGCAGACGGAGCTCCAGAGAGCTGCTGCATAATTCAGAAATAAGTAAAGGGAGTTTAAAACAATCCAGGCGCTCTCTTTTGTATTTTAATAGAATCACAGAGTATAGAAATCCTTTTATATTCCAGAGAGCACTGCCTCAGTTAAACACAAGAGCTGCATATACACACTACTGCAGAACTGAACATAAACTCCAGAAAAGGATCTCCTAATCTACCAAAGATTCCTGCTTGAAGACAGGAATAAATTCAAGCCCGTTTGGCATCTTGCTTACCTGGCATAGCCAATGATCAAGCTGCCAAACACTGTCCCAATACCTGCTCCCGAACCAGCCACCCCAACCGTGGCAGCACCAGCACCAATGAACTTTGCAGCAGTGTCGATATCCCTGGAAACAGCACTGGTCTGGAATTCCCGCCGGCTCAGCTGTGGATGGGAAACACCAGCTGGCTGTGGGATACAGCAAAAGAAACATGGTAATGACACTTTTTTTTTTTTTTAAATAAAAATACATAATCACCACTTCTCCTCTACTCAAGGCAGAGCAAGATCAGCCAAACCTGCTAATCCATCATTGATGTGCGCTAGAAGCTATATCCCCTTACTAGCCACCCTCTTGATTCACAGACTTACTTCTCCATCGTGGCAGAAACCATCAAGTATCACAGGTGATAAACACAGAAATACTGGACCCCATTTACCACAGCAAAGTCTTACCTGTACAGTCTGAATCTCAGGCCTGCTGAAAAGAGACACTGAAACTGGCCTGGCCAGAGCCCTGGAACAGCACCGGAACTGCAGCAAAACACAGGCAATTACTCTCAGTTGGATACCTCCACAGTACCTCTCGGAAAAGAGCAGTTGCTTTATGAATAAGCCTTAGAAATTTTTGAAGACATCCCAAGAGTGAAACAGAACTAGAAAGCAAAAGCATATGCACATTTAGGATACTTCTAGTTTAGCCAGGAGGGCTAAATCTCCAAGCAATTTTGCAGCAGACCACACGCTGCAGCACTGTGCCTGCTACATCAGAATTCAGTCATTGTTATAAATCCTTACATTTTCTTCCCAGTTCCACACTTTAAGAGAAGAAGGTGACTGACTGAGTTCTTCTGACACATAGGTTAGTATATCTTTGCTGGAGCCCTTGGGGTTACACTACAAAGCAGGCCTCCTAAAATGGTCGGTATCACCCTCAGGTCACCAGAGGTGACCTTGCTTCCCCTCTGTATTAAAGCCACGGCGAAACAAACCCACACGACCCCATCGCGGTTAGGGGTGCCCAGGACAGCGTTTTGAGCAAAGCACCAGCAAGAAAGGTTTCCTAGCCCCATATGCCCACGGACTGCCACCACCACCCTCTGACAAAAGGTCACTTACCAGAGCT